GGGGGGGGGGGAGAGAGAGAGAGAGAGAGAGAGAGATTTGTTTAGAGAATCACTTACATAGTTACTTTGATTTCTCCAGCCTCTCTGCTACCCTAGCAAACAAACAGAGCTTTTTTCACTGCCCCCACAACAGGCAGCACCGGATGTTCTGGCACCATCTGGAGATTTCATTATCACAGAAGGTCGCAGAGACTCCTCGCAGGCTACCAACTTATAGGTCGGGGGGAAGGGAAGGAATCATATTAGATTACTCCCCAGCATCAGGGACATCTAATTTCTTCTCTGAAGTTGAAAGAGTTCATTCACATGTAGGAAAATTGTTTCTTTAAAAATTCCCAAATCACATCTAAAATAAGAGACTTTAATATGTAAGGCATGCTTTTTAAATATATACATTGTTAAGAGTTAAGCAATTAAGAAAACAGGATTGCAGGTAAAAAAAAGCAGTCAGCTTTTTTTCTTGTTGCCTTACACTAAGCTCCAGGTTCAGGAACAGCCAGACTGGATTAAATTATAGTTAATCAACTTTAAAGCTTTTTGGAAAAATACAACATTGATATTAAGTAACTGAATGGAAATGTATTTTGAGAAAATTTCCTTTGAAGCACTAATATTTGGCACTTCTATATATAACAGATCTATATATAACACCTCACTTTGGAAAGGGATGACACCTGCAGCCTTGAAAGAGGCTGTCCTGCATCCCCATCCCTTAAGAGTCTATCTCTGGATCCAGCTGGGTTTGGTAAGCATCTCCAACCTTCCCTAAAAAGGTTGCTGAGCTCGTGGTAGGGATTCAGACACAAAATGTCGTACAAAGTAGATTACCTAGACAATGTTCAGTCCAGTTTCAGGCCTGAGCACAGGCCCAAGACAGCATTGGTTGCTCTAGTTGGTCACCGTTACTGGGGCTAGAGCACCCCGTCAGGTCAGCAGCCTTTGATATCATTGACCATGGTGTATTTCTAGATTGCCTGCAGGAAGTTTATGGGCTAGAAGCATTGGTTCTGCTCCTTCTTCAGTGTGTGGTACTGTTTTGTGGGATGGATAGGGACTGGTATCATCCATATGTTGATAATTATATATTGTCACTCCTGGCCTGATATAGATAGAGAATAAGGAAGATAACCTTGAAGGAGATATGCAAGCTCCATTGCCAAGGTAAAACACTGTCTAGTCATGTCTAAAACATGTTTAGACAGTAAAACACTGTCTAAGCCTAGAGCATCCAGATAACTTTCGGAAGCAGCTCAGACAGACACATCCCTAATACACTGAACTATAAGAAGAGGAAGTACAACACAATCAGATTTGCAAGATTGTTATTATAGCCTGTCGCAATAAAGGTAGCTTTAGTGTTCGTGTGGAGGTGATTTCTTGGTCTGGTCTAGTGGGGCTGACACATGGCTAGGGTGTGCTGTGAGTCTGGATAAATGAAAACTAAGTAGCACTGCAGGTATCCTTTTTATAACCTTCAGTGTAACAACAGCGATTACCTGGTATAAAACATGATTTGCTTATAGAATCTGCTAGAGTCTCTGGTCAAGATGTCCAACTAGTACCCAGTGACTAGGTTTGGCTCCTAAAACAATTTTATTTTGTATCTGGCATATCTAGTTAATTTTAATCTTAAAAAGTTACCTAGTTAATACTTACCTACTTAATTTTAATCAAGGCATAGTGAAAAAGAAAAGTTTTCCTTGCTTTCATGAAAATAAAATGCTTTCAAGCAGTGTATAATGTTGAGCAAAAACTAGCAAATTTACACTTTAATGTTACATCTTGAAAGGAGAAGAACAGGAAAACAATGGATAAGATAGATGGATGGGATCAAGAGTATCACTGGAATGTCCCTGCAGCAACTGTGGGCTGTTGACCAGGTCAGGTTGAGATTAAAGGTATTTGTCCACACAGGAATATACTTAGTAGTCAGTCTGACTCAATGGCACCTAACAGCCTCATTATGCCAAACCAAGCATACTCTGATTTATTGTTGTTGTTGTTGGTTGCACAATCGGCCAGATGTTTAGACTGCATTTGGCATTTTTATCCACTTATCAAGTCCTTCCCAAGGACCTGGGATAGGTAGATTATTGTTGGTCGCAGAGTCAGCCAGATGTTTAGACTGGATTTGGCATTTTCCTCCTCCTCCTCCTCTTCCTCCTCCTCCTCCTCCTCCTCCTCATTATTATTATTATTATTGGTTGTCCAACTCCAATGGACTTGTTTAAATTTTTAAACAAAATTTAAAAACAGATCAATAAAAAATAGAGTTGACAATATAAGATGGCACCAACCTTTCCAGAACTTTGCACACAAATGGAATTTTGAGAAAGTGTTGTAGGAACTGGTTACAAAATAGTGGCTGTCTGGAAGTGGCATATTTCAAAATAGCTTCTAAATAAAAAAATTAGATGAAGGCACAAGATACAAATTGATATCTCATCTATCCTTGCAAAGAAGAGAGAGGCCTCCTAGCCCAGTACCACTGGTTCCACTAAACAGGTAAATGAAGCCTAACACAACACTATACCTCACAGAGAGTAAGAAAAAGGGTTCACCTTATCTCCTGCTGCCATTTCTCTTTTTTCCACCAGCATATGGGCAACTGAGAAACAATCCTTTGTTTCCTGTCTAGAGGCATGCTCTGCTGTCTGGCTGTTTAGTTTCTGTATTCCCTCTTCCCATACTGTTGCTCTCCTTCCACCTCAACATAACTTTATATTTCATAAGCTAGTATCCTGAAGTGAAGGGAAGATTTCCTTTCTATAATATTAGCATTCAATAAAAGGAGATTGATGGTGCATGTAAAAGGCCACAATGAAGAGGATCTTCTCTAGAGAACAGAGAATGGGGAAAAAAACCCGTCATAACCATATTCTTTAATTAATTAGCTCGAGTTTTTATGAGGACACCAAACAAAGTACCTATAGGTATTGCATTTAGGAATGCAGGCTGAAACAACCCTGGATCATATTGATCTAAACTATGTCAAATTTATTGCAGCATCTGACCTCTTGTTAGGAGATCAGATTCTGCAGCTCAGTATACCATTGTCCCACATAACAAAGAGTGTTGAATAAAGTGGCCTTACAGTGTAGGAATTGATCATACCTATTATTTTCAGATAATCATTCCATGTATCACTGGAACTAATACTGTACATAGTACTGAGTATGTCACTAGTAGTCTTTAACATCAAACAGTATACTACATATTTTTACTCTTTAGTTCCTAATTTTTAACAGCTTTTAAATACAAAACTGCACTCTAATGCCCAATACATTATAATTTTAGCTTCTTCAGCAAACAGCAATCCTTTATATATTGCTTAATAAATATTTTCACATAAATCCAATAACATTAGAAAAAATATTTACATTTTAAGTTCTCTAAGGGTCCCTGGAACCAATCTCAGAAGAAACAGATCCTGCTACCATT